GAAGTCTTAAATATACGAAGAAAAGTTGGGTTTCAAGGAATCTCTTGTTTCCTAATTGTTGGGATTACTTCCATTTCGAGTAGAAGTGTTGTGTGAAGAAATTCGAAGGTCGGTTCCACCAGAAGACGACGGCGAATTCCTCCTCCAGCCAATCGAAAGATGGTCAAGAGCAATTCGCCATCGTCCTCTGGTGGAACCGACCTTCGAATCTCTTCAAACAACACTTCTACTCGAAATGGAAGTAATCCAAACAAGTTTTAAATAGGCATGCCATAATCGGAGCAGTTGCAAAAAATTGTAAAGAATAAGTACATATATGAATAGTTTCAGAAATGAATAAAATAGTTTAGTCTGAAAATAGGATGAGTATACGATAAAATGGGAAAGTGCATACTTACTTCGAGTGCGCCCTACAATTCATAGTTAGACCACAACCAGTTAGGCTGTCAGAGACAACTGAATCAATAATAATATGAGTAACAATTATGGCCTATATTTGCAGAATGTAGGAAAAGACAAAATAGATAAAAAAAGATAGGACAAGGACATCGCGAGACGGCGAATTAGATTTCTACCATTAAAAGTAGACAATAAAGTGGCACAGCAAAACTTACTAAATATCTACGTAGAGTAGTCATAGCTCAGAGCAAGATTCACAAAACGTCCGAAAAGTTCACTCCTGTTTTACACAGCTTCATTCGGCAAAACCGAATATGACAAACAGAGGAGGGGGCTCGAGACTGCTCACACGTACTAAGTGTCCTGAGTGTGTTTTTGGCACCAGTGGATAGTGACCAGACACCGAGGACCGACTAGGAAGATATGTAAATTAAAGAATGGCAAGCAGACTTCTTTTCTATCCATAAGCAAGTCACAAAATGCGATTAGAAAATGCAGTACCGTGAGGAGTTTAAGATAAGCAAGGGAAGACAGTTGGATGATATAAGAGGCGAATCAGAGGCATTTTAGTCAGTAAATCCCTAACAAGAATGCCGTAGAAGTAAAAGGACAAAAATGGTAAGGGGATTTGTCGAGTAGGGGTTGAAACGCAGCCGCTTAATCCAGTAGCCAAACTGACAAAAAAAAGAGAATATAAGCAGCGTTTAGAAGATCTAAATCTTGTCAGTCTT